TTCCCTACACGACGCTCTTCCGATCTAGTGATATCTTTTATTTCTCTTTCCATGTAGAACAAACTTGCACGTCATATCAGTTTCAATGTCCATTTCCTTAGCTATCCAATTTGAAAATTTGGAAACATCAGTGAAGATCGAATAACGTTCAACGTCACACATTCCTTCGTCCGTGAAAAGTGAAGACGAAAATATTCCTTTAATAAACCATTTAGAATTATCCTTCATATATGAACCACCGCCACTGTCACCTGTAAAGATCATTCGATAATTAAAGCCTACTTAAAAGTTTCAATGTTCCTTCACTTCACCTTTACATGGTCCACTTCCATTTTCACCGATAGCACAAAATGTGCGACTTGAAATTAAACTTCCCATAAATTCATCTTCATAGCAAACTTCATTTGTTACAATTTTGAGTTCGATTTGTCTTGGAATTAATTGATTTTGGGTTGTCAATTGATCTTCAGTAGCTCCCCTGAGTTTCACATAGAAGTTAAATTGAAATTTAAAATATCAGAGAACTCACCAGCCGATAACAGTTCCAGTTGGAGCATTTTTCATTTCTAATGCAGACGTCCATAAGCACGCAGGATAAATATTTGATCTTAATGGGACATTTCCAACAATTTTAATTAATGCAATGTCTGAATCATATTTCTCTTGATGAATGTTCCAATTAGGATGAATTTTTATCTTTTCTGGAAAAACTGTGATTGAACCACGTTCATAGAGAGCACTCAAATTATATTTTCCGAGATGCAAAACAAATTCTGATGGTGTTAGAGGTGTTTCCTGACTTTTTTCTTGAAGGCAATGTGCAGCTGTTAGGACGTGACTACGTGAAATGAGAGTTCCGCCACAGAAAAACTTCCCATCCGCAGTATACATCAATACCACCAAGAACGGCCACTGACTTCTTTTCACCACTTTTCCATTGTACATTAATCCACTAGCACTTAAGGATACACCACACTGGTTCTCAGCGTTTGGCCCTTCTACTAAATGACCAGATTGAATTTGCGTTATCGCAAAAAGAATGACCAAAAATTTCAGCACAACTGCGACGTTCGAAATCATTTTGAGAAATAATCTTAGTGTACGAAATTTTGTGAATATCATTTTTAATCTTCTTAATATTCATTCTCAGTGATAAAGCAGATTACTTAGGTCAGAGATCACTCAATTGAAAGCTCAAATTTTTGTTTACATTTTGAAGTTTATGTTTGTTCTTTTGTTGTGATCAAGGAATTCCAAGTCAGTTTGTATTGGGGATTTTGCGCGTGCATAAATTCTTTTAATTTTTTAATGATAATCTTTATCCGCTTCAAACCTTAAAAATTATTAAATTAGTAAAGTAATCCATCTTTGAAAAGGTTCAAAGTTGACAGTAATTAACTAGGTAGCATAAATGAACTATGGACTGCTTTATTATCTAAAGATAGTAAACATAAATTTTATAAGATATTTGAAATAACGTCAGTTTTGTTTTGCATACGAATATATGGTTTACTGACTTTAACGTACTGCGTTTCTATGTTTGTGTCAACTTCGTTGAACATCTTTACTATTCAACTAAAATATTTACATATCCTTCGGTACATTGATCTGAATAAAAATTTATAAGAAAATTTAACTTGATATAAATTATATCAAGACAAGGATCTTCAAGACAAAGTTCCTTAATTCTTAATCGCACTAAAATTACTTGATATGAATATTTACAAATTATTTCTGTCAATCTATCAGTCACAAATAACTTCCAAATGAGATCTTTCTAGATGGTACAACTTGTGGCAATTATTGCTTTAAAGCTTTCGAAATCTTTAGTTTATCATCAGATTGAATTTGCGTTACCGCAAAAAGAATAAGCAAAAATTTCAACACAACTGCGACGTTCGAATTCATTTTTACAAATGTGAATTTCATTCTCTTCTGAATATTTATAATTATCATCATCATCATCAGAGTAGGGAGTGCACGCCAGTGCACTAAAGCGATTAAGTATACAAGAATATAAATTCCAACTTGTTTTGCTCCCTTTGTCTCATCACTTGAATGATGAAGGTTCCACTTTCAGTAGCGTTCCACAGGATTGTATATCCCTGAATACTCTTCATTGTTCACATTTGACAAATTTTTATTTTTATCAAATTTGATACAAAGAGACATTTCAGTTTATTATATCCTAGTGAAAAATTCCACTTTTAATGAAACAGGGGCGAAGTATCTAAACTTCTGAAAACCTCAGCCCAAGTGACCACCACCGAGAATGGAACCAGGATCGTACCGATCAGTGAATCGATACGAATTCTGATACAAATCCGATGGCACAGACACTTAGGCCAATGAAGCAAATTTGCCCCCTTATATTTATAATTATTGATAACGCGAGTTTCTCAGGTCAAAGAGCACTCAATTGAAAGCTGAAATTTTTGTTTACATCATAAAGTATACGTTTGTTCTTTTGCTGATCAGGAAATTCCAAGTCATTTTGTTTCAGAGATTTTGTGTGCATGAATTTTGGTAATTTTTTTGCAAATTAATTAACTAGTGTGAACGAAATGTTGACTCCTTTATTATCATGAAATAGTTACAGAAACAAAAATGTTATGAAACATGTAAAATAATATGGTTTTTGTTGAGCATACGAATGTATGGTTTACAAAATTTAACGCACTTTGCTTGTTTGTATCATCTTAGTAGAATAGGTATCTTTAGAATATCTTCAACTAACATATTCACGTATCCTTTGGTACATTAGTCTAAATAATGATTAACATGAAACTTTAACCTGATACAAATTATATCAAGACAAGGATAAAGTTCCTTAGTTCTTAATCTCATTAAATCACTTTAGTTGAATGCTAAACTAAACGAAACTAAAATATAGTTGAATTTTTCAAATTATTTTTGTCAATCTGTCGATCACCAATAACTTCCAAATGAAATCTCACTAGATACTACAACTTGCCGCAATTATTGCTTTGAAGCTATCTAAATCTTTCGTTTCAGGAAAATGTTCCGAAATGCAAGTATTGTGACGAAAGTTGACTACTTTCAACTTCTTCAAAGGTGTAAACAATTCCAAATCGATGTGCTTAAGTTTATTATGATCCATGTGAATTCCCTCCAAATTGAAATTTTTCCTAAAAAGTCGACCATCGAGATATTCAATCTTATTCATGAAAGCATAAAATACTATTAAATTGGGACTATTGATTAATAAATCGGCGTCAAAAGAAACGATTGGACTTCCACGAAGACTTAACATTATTAAACCTGGCACATCATAAAAGGTGTCTGCTGGAATATTAACAAATTCGTTATCAGCAATATCAATGTTTGTCAAAAATTGAAATCCGCTGAAATCACTTCTTTGAATGTGCTTCAATTTTGTTCCCTGTGCATAATATCTTGTTAGGTTTGGAAAGAGTTCAGGAATTCCATGTGGCAGATATGATGTGTCTTGGTCTTTTAGACAAAATTCTTTGACGTCGTTGTTGTTACTTTGGCCTAAATGAACTCCCATCACAACTGAGACCTTTACATTAGGCTGCTGAATGACAAAGTTTTTCGGCCAGCATTGATATCTTGTACCGTCTTCTGATTTAAACTCGCACGTCATATCAGTTTCAATGTCCATTTCCTTAGCTATCCAATTTGAAAATTTGGAAACATCAGTGAAGATCGAATAACTTTCAACGTCACACATTCCTTCGTCCGTGAAAAGTGAAGACGAAACGATTCCTTTAATAAACCATTTAATATTATCCTTCATATATAAACCTCCGCCACTGTCACCTGTAAAGATCATTCGATAATTAAAGCCTAGTTAAAAGTTTCAATGTTTCTTTCACTTCACCTTTACACGGTCCACTTCCATTTTCACCGATAGCACAAAATGTGCGACTTGAAATTAAACTTGCCATAAATTCATCTTCATAGCAAATTTCATTTGTAACAATTTTGAGTTTGATTTGTCTTGGAACTAATTGATGTTGGGTTGTCAACTGATCTTCGATGACTCCCCTGAGTTTCAAAAAGAAATTAAATTGTATTATTAATTATATTAAATTAAATTAAAGAATACTTAAATGTAAGGGAACTTACCATCCGATAACAGTTCCAGTTTGAACATTTCTCATTCCTAATGCAGACGTCCACAAGCACGCAGGATAAATATTTGATCTTAATGGGACAGTTCCATCAATTTTAATTAATGCAATGTCTGAATCATATTTCACTTGATGAATATTCCAATTAGGATGAATTTTTATCTTTTCTGGAAAAGCTGTGATTGAACCACGTTCATAGACAAGACTCAAATTATATTTTCCGAGGTGCAAAACAAATTCTGATGGTGTTAGAGGTGTTTCCTGACTTTTTTCTTGAAGACAATGTGCAGCTGTCAGGACATGACTACGTGAAATGAGAGTTCCACCACAGAAAAACTTCATATCGGCAACCATCATCAATGCCACTAAGAACGGCCACTGATTTCTTTTCACCACTTTTCCATTATAGATTAGTCCACTGGCACTTAAAGATACATCACACTGGTTCTCAGCGTTTGACCCTTTAAACAGTTCATCAGAAAGAATTTGCGTTATCGCAAAAAGAATGAGCAAAAATTTCAGCACAACTGAGGCGTTCGAAATCATTTTTAGAAATAATTTTAGCGAAGGAGATTTTGTGAATTTCATTTCTCTTCTCAATATTCATTCTCAGTGATAAGACGAGTTTCTCAGGTCAAAAGGCACTCAAATGAAAAATGGAATTTTTGTTCACATTTTAAAGTTTACGTTTGTTCTTTTGTTGATCAAGGATTTTCAAATCATTTTGCTTCAGAGATTATGTGAGTGTATAAATTTTGGTGAATGTTTTACAAATTATTAAATCAGTAAGGTAATACATCTATAAAAAGGTTTAAAGTTGACAATTATTAATTAGCATCGAAAAAAGAATAAGCAAAAATTTCACGACATCTGCTACGTTCGAAATCATTTTTAAAAATAATCTTAGTGAAGGAGCTTTTTTGCTTATCATTTCTCTTCTCAATATTAAATCAGATTTTCATATATTAACCGTAACGGTATTTCTTTTCTAATTTTTCAATTGACATTTCATTTGTTTGTTGGGATAAAAAGCCGTCTTTATCGAAATAATCATACGATAAAATCTGCATAAAAACCCAATCTTTTATAAAATTTATAATACAATACAGAGTAGATGATAATAACACAATTTCGACTTTCGATATGCTTCTGTCCTACCTAGCCCAATTAAGTGTCGTTATCGTCACCTGAAACGAAAAGATTTTTGCTGGCAAGAACATGCTAATGGTCAGAACAGGCGAAAGTATACACTCAAGAGAGCACCCGAGCTAATTGATTTTGGAGAACACCAGAATTTAGAAGATGTTTTGTTTCACATATCTGAAGATTTCAAATTAAATCAATAAAATGAATAAAACTTCTCTAAGTTTTTGACAATATGTAGAGTGGTTAACCCTAACTTCGACAGCTCCTAATTTCGACACCTTCGGACAATGTCACGGCTAAACTTAGATTCCGGACATAATGGCCCTTTTTCTTTAGCTTTACAATTTTTTTTAGGTTACCAGATAGTTGTAGCATATTTCCTTTTCTTGGGTTTTTGCTTTTAAAACATATTTAATTTTTAAAGTGAAGTTAGATCTGCTTGTGAATTTTTTGACCCTTTTGATCTACATATTTCACAAACAGTGTCTTCACTTCAATAAGCATTTTTGTATTTAAAAAACGAAAGAATAAATTAAATGAAAATATGAAAAGATGCTACAACTAATGCACTTTACAGAACTGAAAAGCTTTTTCAATTCTGTTAGAAGATTATAAAATAATTAATAAAATAAATCAACATGATTTTAATCCTTGGTTCGATATGCGCTTTTACCTAGGTTCGACAAGTTTTTGTGTTGCAATATATCGCAACTTGCACGAAGTATGTCTACCATTTGTTTACATTTTAATTCGAGTTCTACTTATAAAAATATTTATATAGTTAAAATGAAATAAAAACCTATAAATTAATATTAC